AACATTGCGTGTCAAAACATCGAATGTACTAAAAGAAAATAAAATTAAAAAAGAGTGATTTGTATATCTGATAAATATTGTAACATAACCGGAGAGAAAGTAAAAATGTATGATCGATTTAATTAATTGATTGCATAACTCCTGAAAAAAATGGTAAGAATATTTGACTATAATATTCTGACTATAATGCTGATTAAGGATCAAGCTTTTGAGGATTCATCGCGATTGAAACATCATCACAATTTTCTAGCAATTTGTTGGACATTCTGTATTATAACAAAATGTATTCGCAATGAAACAGTTGGCTCACTAGCGAATAATTAAATATATGTGACTTTTCTATTTATTTGATTAATTAACACGATTACGCCGAGATTGTATGCACAGTACAGAGCAGAATATATTGTTCTTAATAAAAGCTTCTATATTTAATATACACCCATTTCACCTCATTGTATATTTATGCCTTGTCAAATTGATTATCAGCTGATCTTTATCGGAATGATCAATCGGTATTGAATAAATTGAGATCTTTTTGACAGTATTCCCGCTATCACGCACTGTAAATTATATATAAAAGGAAAGGAAATGTGTTGTAATACGAAGAATTGTGCAATTTATACTCGCTTAAAATCTTCTCTCAAAGCTAACTTTCCTCTTCTGATTAGTTGCACCCTCTAATTGAATAATTATATTTTGAAACAGCCGCTAACACGTTTCTTAGTATCATTACGCTTTAGAGTTGATGCAATGAATTTTCTAAGTATTTTCAGCGTAATGTTCGGTACAAGTACCGTCCTACTTTGTCAACTGCAACAGCGATTGCAGTCTCCTCAACTATCTATATTTAGAGATGAATCATTTATATATTTAAATAAAGAAAATCACGTATGCCGAGATCGCAAATATATGCAAATGTATACACTATACAACATTAAAAACATATGTTGACAATTGTCTCAGCTCTCAGTTTAATTAGCTAATATAATAACAATATAATCTAAAAATGTATTAAAATGTGATAAATAAAATATCACTAGAAACTCAGTTTTAATTTTTACAATTACCTAATCATTAATATTTGTAATATTATGATATAGTATTGTAAAGTAATCTGATATATGTATAATACTAATATTTATAATAGCTACATAACTTGATAAACATAAGTAAAACAACGCAAACAAATTGCACTTTTAAGTTGTGCAAATGTATTAGGTGTATGTGCAAATTTCACATTACCTTTATGCCAATTAATGCTGTCGCTACCTCGCATGTAAAGACATTAATCGCAATGCTACGAACAAATAAGAATTAAAAGAAGAGAGATCGATGACAATTAGCAGTAATCTACGATTAAATATGATAATAACCAGTAAAAAAAGATTAACATAATCTTTGACATTTGATTTCTTATTTTGTTAGAACACACATTCGCGAGAAATTGTTTTAATGCATCAGTCAAGTAAACTTCTGTAAAATAATTTATTTCTTATGTATTCTTTAAAAATATATTGCGTCGTATGTATAACGATATTGTAAACAAATATTTGAACAGAAGGAATTTCGCTGAGTTCACATTTTATTTGCAATAATACACCGAAAAATGATGTCACGGTGAAATCAAATTGGAGCACAATTGATTTCATCAAAATGAATTCTTTTATATAGGTATGTACATGTATATGTGTATATCTCTGATAAATATAAAAACAAATAAACCCAAGCATTGAATGACACGAGATAACGATCATACGTAAGATTATATCTAAAGATAAAAGAGAAGTGTAATGAAATAAGGAGTAATGGAGATATAAAAATAGTCAATGAAATTCGTCTGCGATCGATTTTTTCATCGGCATTGTTAGAAATAATGCAAAAATATTTCCTAGAATAGATTGCAGACACGATTTCAATTTGTAGAGAACAATACAATACCTACGTCATGCAGCGGCATATCATTATCATTTCGCATCGGTACGTTAGTATTGTCGTCATATAATCCATCAATCTTAAATCCATATAGTAATTAGGAATATATTCGAATACTGTCTTTTAGAAAAAGTAATCAATCATTCAGCATAACTATCATGGTTTTAAATTAAAAATTACTTAAAGAAACTATTCTTGTATTTCCATTCTCATGATATTTCCATTTTGAATATTAATGCCATAAATAGTCATCAGTCAAGGTGATTCGAGAAGAATTTTATAGAAAAGAAATTATATATCTATCTACTTATAATTTAAATTACTTATAATTTAAAGAGACTTGACAAAAAATCAGAGAATGAAAAGTTACTTTTTAAAAGTAACAAGTTACAGTTACTCGTTACCGAGTGGAAAAAGTAACAAGTTACCGTTACTAGTTACCGATTTTTAAAAGTAAGTTGTTACAGTTACCGTTACTTGAGAAAATAAATTTTTGTTACTTTTCCGTTATTTTTTTTTAAATCTACGACCGCCAATCACAGCGGACGGGCCTAGGGGTTTCTCTAGTCTCAAGTTCTATGCACTGTAAAAAAATGTTGTGTAAAAAAAATTACAACTATTATAGTGGATAATTTTGAGACCCACTATAATAGTTGTAAATGTCCACAAGTTCGTAAATTTGCAGTATGCAAATAAAAATAATTTCTTGGTTTGTAACTAAGCAGATTGTGGAAGTACCTATAATTACAGTGTGTATGTGTAGTTACATGATCGAACGATAATATGACAACATTTCGCACTATATATTATTATACATTTAACAGCAAAACGCGAAAAATTTCTGTTATATTACGTAATATTACTAAAATTTGGATAATGTGGATTACAAAAAATATTCAAAATATCCTACTATTTACATAATTTTCAATATAAAATAAGACATATTTACACAATAAAATTTACATAATTTTTGTGAACTTATAATATAGATATAATTTCGGTAAAATTGCATGATTTTTTATATATACAAGACTAATCATTTAATCTATTTTACATCTATTATGTTTAAAGAAATTTTTTTATAGTGTAAGTGGCTTGTGTCGTATCGTGTCCAATCATGTGCGCAAAGTAACGATAAAAGTAACTGTAAAATTCGTTACCGTTATAAAAAAAAATGTACACGGAGAAGATTTTATATTTAAAATTACTATAATGTGGTAATAGAAGCTGCGGTCTTCATGTAAATTATAAGTTTAAATGTTATAGTTATTTTTTTAAAAATAATAATACAACGTAATTTTTACACTTTTTTATAGTAAAAATTTTTTATTACAAAATCAAATATATCTAGCAAATTTTGTTTGCGTACCATAGTAAAAATTAACTGTTTTTATGTTAGAATATGGCTTAACAAAATAATTACTTTATTTATGTGATAAAAATTAGTATTACTATAGTAAAAGTTAAGTCGGAATCATGTTGTGAGAGTCCATCGAAAATACAAGACATAGTAAAGAGTAATTTAAAATTGTGTATTAAAACTTAATATAAAATTTTCTCCGTGTAACTTCACTTAGTTAGAAATGTTCTTAAATTTCATTAACTTTTAAGTTACACAATTGAATTTAATTTGAATTTAATTTCATGACATTACATTAAATTTAATGTATTTGTA